TAGGGGGGAACCCAGTGTATTTCAGGACAAAATCGAACAAAGTGGAAATCATGTTTTACCTCCATCGGGTCAGGATAAAAGCGATAGTGTATCGGACTTTGAGTGCGTAAAGCCTAGCAGGCCAAAAAGACTTGTGAAGAAACCGGTTCATTTAACAGATTATGTTTGTAGTAGTTTAAGTTAGTTTAGGTATAAGATCATTAATGACACAGGGATCTTTTATAAAAAAAAGGAGATGTGTTGTTAGCTTAGATTAAGATATAGGCGCCGGAGTTAGGCAACACAGATGACAGGGATGTCATGTGAACGTAGCCGAAGCTCGGGCAAGCATGTATGTTTGAGGGTTGAGAATAAACTGATGTTGTGAAGTAACGATTATTATTTGTAACCCCTCTTTGATAACACGACAGTATTTCATCGAGAAGGACCAAACTTACTACTGGCATTTGCAGACGATATCGATATAATAGGAAATACACGATTAAGGATGAAGGAGACTTTCCAGAAGGAAGCAGAGAAGATAGGGCTCAAAATCAACGAAAACAAGACGAAATATATGTATTTGAGCCGCAATAACCAAAGCGTTAGAGAATTCAAGTATCTTGGAACAACAATAACTGAAGACAATAACGGATCACAAGAAATAAACAACAGGATTCAGGCCGGCAACAGATGTCTTTTTGCCCTCCAAAACCTTATAAAATCGAAACAACTTACAAGACATACGAAGATGCAGGTCTATACAACAATCATACGACCCGTTGTGATGTATGGAAGCGAAACGTGGACGATAACAAATGTAACGAAGAGAGACTATGTGTTTGGAAAAGAAAAATCCTAAGGAAGATCTTGGATCCTGTGCTGGATGAAGTATCAGGACAATATAGGATAAGAACTAACTAAAGAACTCGAAGAACTCTACCCAGACGCCAACATCATAAAAGAAATACAGTCCAGAAGACTCCAATGGGCAGGAGACCTCAGAAGACATTCTGACGAACGAACAGTAAGACTGGGTGTGAGCGGAAGTCCCAATTGGAAGAAGATCACGCGGACGCCCTCGTCTTCGGTGGCGAGATAATATAGCAGGAGACCTAAAGCACTATGTGTGTGGAGAATTGGATGGAGGTTGCTCAAGACAGAAAACAGTGGAGGCATGTTGTCGAGTTGGCTAAAACCCACGAAGGGTTGTAACGCCATGGAGTAAGTAAGTAATATTCAGAAAGTGCGAAGCGGATATGAGTAATAGAAAGTTTGACTTTTTGAACAGTGGAAGCTCTGTATAGTTTTACAACTGTTGTCCAAAAATGTCGAGACCAACAAAAAGATCGTTTCGGTGCGTTTATACTCTATGAGAAAGCTTTTCAACCAAAGTTAAACATAACATTCTCATGGAATGTCTAAAGAGAAAATGATTCGACAAAAATGACATTACCATAGAGAGAAATCTCTATTGTAACCAACAGGTTGTGGTAACATTAGATGGAAATAGCACGGATGCGCAACAGATAAATAGATGAGTGAAGACAGGGCTGTGTACTTTCACCATTACTATTTCATATATATTCCAAAGAGTTATTTACACCAGCACTTGAAAACTGCACAGAAGGAATAAATGGTGAAAATATAAACAACATCCGTTATGCTGACGATACAACCTTATGCAATCGAATAAACAATGTTCCGCTGAAGCCGTGTCGTTAATCACCACACTCAATGAATGAGTTGAGTTGTCAACTTCTTGCTTCCAGATCTTTACCAGTTAGGCTCTGAAGGAGCCGTATCCCGTGAGGAACTTTGTGAAGAAGTAGTTAGTCTCCATATGGTCATGTCACTCATACCTCACCTACTTTGTCGTTTACACTCATGACATACGTGATTGGCCATTCCCTCAGTAGTAGGTGAATTCGTAGCACCCTGCTATCACTTTTAAGGCAACTGTCGAAGTTTCTTGTATGCACAGACTACCCTCAACAACGCCTTACTCTGAACTTCATTGAGATGCTTCTGTATTTTTGTTTAAGCATCCATAAGAACTCTTCGTTTACCTCTTTCTGGACCTCCTACGCTTGGAATGATCTTTATTAACGCTGGTGTTCTTTGATCAGCTTTTTCGTGGTATATATTATGTGTTCACAGAAAGCTCTGTTTGGTGCCGCTAGTATTACGTCCAAAAATTACTTTCTTGACAGGTAGAATATTTTCGAAGTGAATTAATTCCTCTCGCATAATTTGATGATTTTCTCCCCGCGTTGTTGAAGGCGTTTTTAATATCCAGGAAGAGTGCCTATCCATCTACCCCTGTATGCTTCGTTCTCAATTACTGTCCTCTTTATGGCAGATATGCCTTTTTATATACTGGCGGACCGACAGGCCTACCTTTTCTTCTATTCCTTTTTCGCGCCTTGACTTTATCAAGACTTCAAATGGATTGTCTAGAAAATTTAGCAAGCATATTTGCATAAAAACCATCCAGTTCTTTAATTTCTTTCCTAGGTTAAGGGATGAGGATAAGGTTAATCTGTAACGATGAGTCCAAGCCATCACCGTTAAACCAGCGTGCGCGCGAACCAACCCATGAAGTAGGAGTATATCGACAGTAGAAAGGGCAAAACTAATTACCAAGCTCCGCTATATAAACCGCAACATTTCCTCATAGAGGGAGAATCGACAGTGTTGACTGAAGGTTCTCTTCTTCCCTACCCGGCTTGTGGACGTGTTGAGTTCACAAGTTGTTCCGTCCCATACCGCCGTTACCCGAAGAGCGTGTTGAGCTCTTCACTACCCATACTCTGAAGCAGTCGTGTTGAGACTGTCGAGGAGTGTCCTGTTAACCCGAATCACTTAAGGGACGTGTTGAGTTCCTTTCCTTTCTTTGTACCTATCGTCCGCTGTTATTAAATCGATACAACGTTCCCGTAAAATTTCAAATACACATTCGCTTGCCGATAAAACTAATTTCATATGACAAGGTCAAACTTAATTTGAATAAATAGGCCAGGTACTGAGAAGACTAAACCAAATTGTAAATATGTACATAAGATTTTTGTCCATTTAATTTAAGGAAGACAATAAAGTTTTATTTTTGTTTTGAACTCTGTCTCTGACTGTCTAAAAGCTACCCGGATAGTGACTCCTACGAGAGGACATCACAAATGGTGATGGTGATTTTAAACGGTGATGGCTTGGACTCATCGTTACAAATCGTTTTATATACCGTGAGGAACTTCAACCTTCTAATGAGGTTGTCCAATATGTTTCCATCCACTCAGCTTTTCCATTATATTGAACATTATTATTTCCGGCGCAATTCTGTCAGGTCCGGATGTTTTCCCCGTCTTTAGTGCCTTTTCTGCTTCCAATATATCTTCCATTGTGAAGCCATATTTATATTAATTCCTTTGTAGATTTTATTTGAAGGTTTTCTCCACTCCACTTTGTAGGTATTATTTGGAAGGTTTTCTCCACTCTTTGTGAGAACAGTGCTTATGGTAGTTTACTTCTGTGGGTGTCCTCTATCTTAAAGTAAATATTTACTTTGAGTTCTCTTACTGCTTATTTTATATGCGTCTCCACATATGTTATTTTCCAGGCTTTCGCTTAGTTCTTTGCAGCACATTTTCCCTTTGCTTCTTATTTCTCTGGTTAGTTCTTTATTTAAAGCTTTTGGTCTTTCGGACTCCGGACCAATGACGCTTCGCGGAAAAAATGTTATTCGACACAATTTTTGAAGCAGAAATGGGCACCTTGACTAGATAAGGAGTGCCCTCGCGCTGCTCCGTCGTGAAGGATGTCGTCAGCTTCACCATCTTCTTCGGATACTTGGCAAGAGTACTCTAATCCAGCTTCCCCAGGAGTATGCAAACCCCCAGGGTGACACCAAGATCCAGACGATGAAGAAAATTCTTTATTAACTACCTTCTCCTCACTTGTTTGCTTATTTGTGAATTATAATTTTTACTAACTTTCTTGGTATATAATATAAAAAGATAGATTTGAAACATAATTACTTGAATGTTTTCCTTCAATGCCTTTGTAATTGCTGAGGAACTTTCCATTATGATGAACTGTAGGGTCGGAGCAATGGCGCAAGTGAATTTCAGGTCTTTTAAATCATGTGAGGTACCTCAGTGTGATAGTAACTCAAGTAGATAATCGAAAACGTTCTTGGTTCATTCACAAAAAGTTCGTCTGGCTTTGTGTCACTTAGTAAATTGCAGACAATTTGGTAAATGTTCATGGGTGAAGTGGTTTCTCATTTTGTACCACTCCTTGGACCACGATCGTTTTTTCTTTAGTTCTTTTTTACGATTGAGGGTAGTCAGTGTTAAGGCAAGGAAGCAAAAATCTGTATTCAAAGCCATTGTTCCCTAAACTTAACAACAAGAAAGAAACACAAGCACAGAACCAATGTAGCATGTGAATTGTACGTCGTTTACTGATGAGCTGGGTTTTTATAAAAAGTGTTGAAGAGGTTATTGTGATTGATTGAAGCGTGCGTGAATCGATTGACTCAATCGTTTGATTAATCAGATTTATCGTCTAAAATTGATGTCCTAAAATAAAGGAGAGCCATAGGAGAGAACGTTGTGGAAGAAGCACTGTTGTGACAAAAACGTGGAGAAAACCTTCCAAACAATACCTACAGAAGCATCAACAAATGGCTTTACAATGGAAAAGACAACATAAGAAAATGATTAGATGATAGTAGAGTAGAGTTGAGTAGTATGTTATTAAATTACATTACAGCTAATACTTTTATGTCTTTCAAACTCTTTCTCCGATGTGTAAAGGTTACAACGACTCTCAAATATTGATTAAAATTAGTTACGATTCTAATCTTAACATTCACTCTGTATAAAACTCGTTTATTTAGCGGAAAATATTTCGTCTTTTGGAACCTCACACATCACCAAAACTCGTTTTTTATTATTATTTACATTGCAGATTTACAATTTTAATTTAATCGTGTTTCTAGTTTCTGGGACGCGAGTTTGTTCAAAAGAAAGTTGTTAATCCGTTCCTTCCCATTTAATAGAATAATTGGTTTATTACGATCTCGATACGTGTATACACAAAGTCTTATCTTCATTCTTTATTATTTCGTGTATGATAAATAATAACATTGTAAATTGTTATAAAATAAAATTATAGTAATCTGTAGAAATTTATTATAATCTTTATCTAGAATATAGTGAGTGTTCTGTGAGAGTGAAAAAAAAATGAACCGTAAAAAGTGTGTGCAGTTATCTGTAAGTGGAGTTGAATATACAGGTAAATAAATACAATACATATTAATAAGGGTCACTACTTTAGAGTTAACGTACGATAAAGCAAATAAATAGAAAAGAAGGTTCTAATATGGGTCTCTGTTTTGTTTTTCCAAATTCACAAGGAAAAGGAAATTACTATAGTTAGCTGTAGGATCATCAATCACACAAGTTTTCTTAAAATCGTTTATAAAATGTCATCATCATCATCACTGGCTCCACCACCCATGGTGGGTCTTGGCCTGCTCAAGGATAAGTCTCCATTCTCTCCTATTCTTCGCCTTGACTTTCCAGTTTCGTACTCCCAACATTCTCAAGTCTTCCTCCACCTGATCCTTAAATCGTGCTCTGGGTCTGCCTCTCCTTCTCACTCCATCTATTCTTCGATTATAAATATGTTTTGGCGGCTCCATCTCATTCATTCTCTCTATGTGACCTAACCACCGCAGCCGGTTTATTTTGACGGACCTAATAGTATCGTGTTTGTCATACAGGCGGTAAAGTTCGAAATTATAGCGTCTGCGCCATAATTCACCCTCCTGTACTTGTTCATAGATATGCCGGAGGATTTTTTAATTTTTATAAAATGTACATAATTTAAAATCCATTTCGGGCTACATCATACAACATTTTCTGACTAAAAAGCCTATCATCAATCGTTTATTAGGGTAGACCGGGGAAATCCCGACACCTTAAGACAATTTGAATTTTCAGATTTATTCTATATTAGTTCGGTTTTTTATGAAAATACCTATACTATAATTGGAATTTTCGGCATCCATTGGGTATGTAATATTAGTAAAACAATGTCATTTACGTATTAAAACAATATTTCCCTAACTTTAGCAGAGTGTCGGTATTTCCCCGATCACCGGGGTAATTCTGACAGACTTTTGGGTAATCCGACAGTAGTAATAATAAGAAAATAATGAGACAACTGATGGTATCGCTATATACGAAAACATTAAATACTTAAACGAAAACAAGATAAGCAATACATAAGAGATATATTAAAATCAAAAGTTGTTTCTACAACAAAGAACTTAGTTCGTAGAACAAAAGTCACACTGATAGTTTTCAGGGCAATCATACCCACTGCACTCAGCGTGAGCCCATTGTCCACAAAACACACATCTGTACCATAGTTCAGTTTTTACACCAAACTCACCACAAACCAAACACATTTCAGTGTTTTCGGAAAATAATTCAAAACTGTCATCAAATTCGTTGTCATCACATATTTTTGATTCATCTATATCTTCTTCGGAAGACGATTCTTCAAAATTAATTTGTCTTCGACACCTTCTTCGTTTGTTTGTAGCTTTGCGTTTTAATGCGCCCAATTTTATTTGGGATTTATTTTCAACTTTTAATTGTTTACTTTTTTCACTCTTCAACATTTTTAGCTTCAGATTAGGGTTGACCTTTGGATCCTGTATAACTTTTTCTAGTCTACGCTTGGCTTTTAAGTCCCTAATTTCTTTTTTTTTTGTGTCTTCCAAAACCGTTTTCATAGGGGTGCAGCCATAATTACTGAGTATTGTTTCTGGAATTTTTTGGATTTGTTTATCATCATTAAATGATTTTGGAACAGGTGATACTGATTCCAAAATATCTTTAAAATGAGACAGATTTTCAGAGGATTTTGGACAAGAATTTGGTACAACATTCGTTTTCGAACTACCAGGTAATGGATTTTCATAAATCCCATTTAAATCTAAGCTGGTTGATGTCTTGGTTCCAAATTTCTGTACCGTATCTTTTGGATTATGTTTTAAAATCTGACAAGTTTTGACACAAATCTCGTTAGCGCTTGCAAGCTCTGACTCAAACATTTTCATAGTCAACGATGACTAGAGTTTGAGTATCTTGTATCCAATAATTTATGGTCAAAATTTAGTAATAGAAATCAAATTGTGACCATAAATTATTGCTAAAAAAACGCAAGGTAAAAATACGAGTACTTTTTCATGTATTCGTCATCTAGTAACCCCCACCTATGTCTTAAAAGCTTCAGATATCTGCGAAAAATTTTGCCGTGAAATCGATGATTTTTGCATAACAAGACTGGGCTCTATTCTTCTAGTACCTTCTGTACCACCTTATTTAGATGCACTTGTTTTAATCTCCATGCTTCCAAGCCATAAAGAAGAGTGATGAATACGTAACAACTGAAGCATTCATTCTATATTTATAGAACATAAAAATTAAAATGGGTCATATTTTTATACCTTCTTTAACGAAAATAAAATTCATTAGTAGTTTTTACCTAGCCAAGAACTAATATTCTAAAATAGTTTCTTCTCTTTTTCATGTAAATAAGAATATACGATTTTTAATATACCGAAATTTAAATTTTTGTCTGACATAAACCAGTATTCGCCTTTCAAGGTCTCTTTTTATAGTTGGACGACCATTTTCTGTATATTTTCCTAATTTAATATGCTATATGTATGATAATATATGCATAATCACGTAATATTTGTTGTTTTCTCTCTGTCTTTCTGTCACATAACTGTAAGTTATAAACCAAAGGATTGATTTTGTACTTGAGCAAGGTAGATCTGAAGACAATTTAAAAATAACTTAGTGTATTTAAATATTGACACCTTTAATGTCTTATATAAAAGTCGCAAAACAATAAACTTGAGATGCAGGAAATATTTGGTTATAATAAATAAATACAAAAATGGGCATTTTATATCCATATTTAACAAAATTTTTACAAAATATCTTACAAAATGAATAGTGTTATTAAATAGTTACTGTTAGAGAATTGAAATGTTATTGAGTACGGACACTTTCCCTCTAAGGGACAAATTCACTTATCCCTCACTTTTAGCGAGGCCTTTTTCGTGTTACTGAGTCCTAGTCGACCTGATCGGCGCACATTAACTGGCTCCCGAACTCTATAAAACCACTTTAATCCTACACGAATTAGCTCCCAAACCCATACATGAACTGGCTTCCACCAATTACTAAATTCCTAGAAATTGAATCTCTTAAAATTTGGGGAAAAGAGGTATACTATACACCAGAAATTAGAAATGTAGTTTTATTTTTTTTCGATCAAATGAAAGGCAGATAACGAGCACAGTTTATTAATTAAACCTTGCACAAGTACTTTCGCTTCCTAGAGCATCTTCAGCGGCATTTCGATCAATTTCGGCCTATCTAACAAACTGTTGAGAATGTCATAAACATAAAATTGTACATTACACTACACTACATAAAGACAAAAAGTTACATTCTGGTTGGCATCAGGAGAGAGATTCTCTATCCTAAACTTTTCTTGTAAGACTTTTTAAGTATCCCCAAAAAATTTGGTTAAGCCTAATATTACGACGAGAGATATATAAAATAGAAGAATGACACTGAGGAAAAGGTATTTGTTCTTTTATCAGATTTTCCAATAGATCTTAATAGCAGAATAGCAGCATCATTATATATATCTATCTCTCTCTTTGTCAACCATTTTCCATCACTCCTGAATATAGGTCTCTCCCAATTGCTTCCATCTTTCTCTATCTTGCGCCAATCTAATCCACTTTTTGCCTGCCACTGCTCTCATGTCATCTACCCATCTTTTTTAAGGTCTTCCCATGCTTCTTGTTGTCGTCCTTGGTCTCCATTCTAGAATTCTCGTGTCCACCTGTTGTCATTATATCGGGCTACGTGACCTGCCCAGCGCCATTTCATTGTTGTAATTTCTTCCACAATATCCTAATTTTCGTTCTATGTTTTATCTCGGTGTTTCTAATCTTGTCTCTGTGATATTCAAGCATGATTCGTTCCATTGCTCTTTGCGTAATTTTTTAGCAGATTTTTTGGTAAGGGCTACTGTCTCCAAGCTGTAGGTACAAACTGGTACTAAGCATGTGTTATATACCTTTTTCTTTAAGTTTACAGGAATGGAGGTGTTTTCCAAGATATATGCTAGTTTGCTGAAAGCGCCCCATGCCAGTTGTGTTCTTTTTTAATTTCAGCATCTTGATTTGGTTTTCCTAGTTTGATGACATGACCTAGATGTACATAATGTTCAACATTTTCTATGGTATGATTTTGTATTGTTATATTTGTCTGGTCTCGGCTCAGTATTTTTGTTTTACTATATTTTATTTTTAAGCCTACCGCTCCTGAAACTGCATTTTATATGTGTAACATATCATTTAGTTCTTGGATATTATCGGCTATTAAAACTACGTCATCTGCGAATCTCAAGTGGTTTAAGTATGATCCGTCGACGTTGATACCCTTGTTGTTCCAGTTTAGTTTCTTAAAAATGTCTTCTAGAGCAAGGTAAATAGTTTGGGAGAGATGGTGTCTCCTTGTCTTACTCCCCGTTGTAGTCTTATGGGATTAGTTTTTCTGCTTTCGTCCTGCTTTATCTGCATGGTGGCATTTGCATATATGTTTTTAATTATGTTAGTGTATCTTGAATCTATGAATTTTCTAGAGATTCAAGCACAGCCCATAATTCAATGGAATCGAATCCTTTATGGAAATCGACGAACGCCATATGAATTGGAACATTATACTCGGTGCATTTTTCTATCAGTTAGGTAAAGAAAACTAGGTAAAGAAATAATAAATAAGACTTAGTCACAATCAATTTAATTTAACTATCAGACGTCCGGTTTCGCTTTCTACAATATGCAAAGCATCTTCAGGTCTCGATACAAAGTTAAATAAATGCTGAAATGATAAAAACCCATATTAGGGTGTTGTCTAATAAAGATAAACAAAGTAGATGTTGGAAATTACAATAATTATGCCAATATTACATGTCTGTGGTTTTATTTCAAAAGAGTAAGTTGAATAAAAAGGTATAAAAGTTTTAAAAGTTTAAACAGACAAGGTAAGGCCCACAAATTGTCATAAAATAGTCTATTAGATTGTAATAAATTAATAAATGAGCAAATAAATATACCGGCATGTAAGTAATGTTTATTATTTGCTCATGTAAGTAATGTTTATTTATTTGTTTATTTATTTGCTTATTTA